AATCCGCTGCATGTATAATTCGTACATCAGCCAATCCGCTGCGTGTATAGTTCATACAACAGCCAATCCGCTGCGTGTATAGTTCATACAACAGCCAATCCGCTACATGTACGTGGCCACATACTTTTTAACCTACAAAACACATCGTCTTTAGTTGTTTACATGGGGACTGAGATATAAACATAATTGTGTTTAATCGCCAACAGCCTGATTAGTTTAAATCTTCTGACACCACAGAGGACCGATGGGAAGGGATCAGAAAGTTCTTGAAGTAACTTGTAATTGTGAAACGCTAGACGTTTCTAATTTTCCACAGGAGAGAAATTAAATGACCGGAAGAACCAGTGGTGGTTGATGAAACGTTAAAAATAATAAATCAAACTGTGATATTGACGAAATAAATCTTGTAAGGTAGATCGAATCCAAGATGTTGAAAAAACTGATCAAAACATAAATACTTTGAGTTTCTTTTATAGTAGTAAAGTAAATGAGCTTTGTACTAATCTCTGAAAATATCGGCCTAAAACATAACAATAGATGTAAATTAATGGTAAAATATCGGGGTAAAACGTAACAATAGATGTAAATTAATGGTAAAATATCGGGGTAAAACGTAACAATAGATGTAAATTAATGATAAAATATCGGCGTAAAACGTAACAATAGATGTAAATTAATGGTAAAATATCGGCGTAAAACGTAAAAATAGATGTAAATTAATAGTTTACGCCGATATTTTACCATTAATTTACATCTATTGTTACGTTTTACGCCGATATTTTACCATTAATTTACATCTATTGTTACGTGTAAAACGTAAAAATAGATGTAAATTAATGGTAAAATATCGGCGTAAAACGTAACAATAGATGTAAATTAATGATAAAATATCGGCGTAAAACGCAACAATAGATATAAATTAATTGTTTATATGCAAACCTAATCAGGCTCAGGTTACTTGAACTATCTGTCATCAGTTTCATTCTGAGCTAACGTCAACCAATTCATGAAACACTATACAAAGCTGATTCTAAGCTAATGTCAGCTAATACGTGAAACACTATACAATGCTAACTCTGATGTTGAAACATCCCATTCTTTCCCACAGACTTACATTTCTGATTTAAAAAAGTGATTTTGAAAATGTTTCAGAAACAAAATTAAAAAGTATCTAACGAGTTTCGAATTTTATAAACTTACAATTGAAACATTTTTTTGGACTCACACCTCTTTTATACCAGACTGGCAAAGGTTATAAACAATGTGTAGGCCTGAATTTCGATATGTGAACGTGATATAAAGTTGTTGGTCGGAAGTCATATGGATTTTATGATATTTTCAGAGTATTTAAGGTTAAACAACTTGACTTGTGTTCTGTGACTGAACAGTCTTGTTTGAGAGAAAAATATATGTGTAAAGGAACATTTATGTCGGAACAACAAACGACAGAAAGAGCCATGTTTTTTATTCGAAAATTAAGATTGCTTAAATGAATTTAGACGTTTGAATATATTTAATTTTCAGGTTCATTATATATTCTAAACTCATCTTAAAAACAACCGGACTTGTGTTGTACCCATTCGAAGAGCAGACTTGTTTTCCATAGAACAAACGTTCAAGTTCAAAACTAAGCTAAACGAAACACAAGTATATTATTTAGCACAGTCTCTGTGTTGAATTATGTACATATTTATAAATGTTACTTCAAGACACAACAAAATGTTTAGATAACACTGAAGTGATAAACCGCACATTATTTGTGTTGTTAGAAAACGCTTGTGTGTTTATAACACTATAACAATCAACTGTGTTATAATTCACAAAAGTCTGTGTTGGATAACATAACTTGTGTTGCTGTAAAACAACAGCGTTTGTGTTAATATATAACCCAAGTTTTTTACAAAAAGAACTACCACTTTTTGTTAAATAAAATCTTTGTTGGGAACATTAATTACTTTTTATATAAAATAACTCTCATGATCATAAATTTCTAAGAAATTCATATTTTCAGAAATGCGATTACACAAACTTTTGTAATGATATTTATAAATAATTCCTAACATTTCTTTCTCAAAAACAAGTATTATCGTGTTAAACTAGAAGCTTATCCAGTATATTTCGTAATGTTGAAAACTAAGAGAAAAGTTTAATTATGAATAATTTTTCTACCGATTTCTAGCGCTAACGGGTCCTCCAGTAACTCAACGGTAAGCGTGCGAGCTTATGACGCTAAAAATATGGTTTTGAAACAGTAAAGGACAATGAAAGTTTGAAATATTTTCAGAAATAAATTATATTTCTTAAACTTAAAGAAGATCACATAAAAAAGAGAATTCAGTCTGTAAAACGTCAAGTACTTTGATATTTTCTTCTGTTGGATTTCATTGTTACATCGTGTGTTTGTTGGATTTCATTGTTACATCGTGTATTCGTTGGATTTCATTGTTACATCGTGTGTTTGTTGGATTTCATTGTTACATCGTGTATTTGTTGGATTTCATTGTTACATCGTGTATTTGTTGGATTTCATTGTTACATCGTGTATTTGTTGGATTTCATTGTTACATCGTGTATTTGTTGGATTTCATTGTTACATCGTGTATTTGTTGGATTTCATTGTTACATCGTGTGTTTGTTGGATTTCATTGTTACATCGTGTGTTTGTTGGATTTCATTGTTACATCGTGTATTCACTACAGAAAGAGGTACAATGAATCTGAATATTGATAGTAATTACTGTGTAGAAGTTTCTTTCGGAACTTTATTCCCCCAGAAGACCGGATTGATGAATCCCCTATTCACCTGATGAAAAACATCTGTCTGAGGATTGGACTGATGCGTCTTCTATTCTTCTGGTGAGCAACATCTGTCTGAGGATTGTCCAGAGGGTTGGATTGATGTGTCTTCTATTCCCCTGACGAACATCTGTCTGGGGATTGAACTAATACGTCTTCTACAACATAGTAGTAGTAACTTCAAACCTAAAACTTTTTGTTTGATACTAAATATTGAAAAGTAATTAATAAAAACTTTATCTTAGTTACACGAATGAGCAAGTTTAAAGTTTAGTGTTCAACATCTGAGGAACTGGAAAATAGAAGTCTTCTCTGGATGTTCCAAATCAGAACAAAATATTGTAGCTTAATTAACCATAAAGAGGTTTTAAAAATTCAAAAACATTTTCTTGTAAAGTTTCCAACATCACCCCCCCCCAAAAAAAACAAACCCGTTTCCACAATATTTCTTGTATGGCTTTTGTGGTGGAAGTTTCTTTTGTTCTATTGAGGTTTGAGCCCAGTTGGCAACGTTGACAAGGGTTTGATTGATAAGTGTGTTCTATAATGACACATCGAACGAGAGAAATGCTTTCATTCAAACCAGAGCAACAAAAGAACAAAGTCCCATTTTATTTCCGACACAATTTTCTCAAGAAATTCGATTTTCCATCACCAATTGCTTACCTTCTAACTGCAAAATGTTGAGGCAGGCGTGGAAAAAATGACGAGTTTATTTCATCTACACTCAAGAAATGTATTCATGTATTCCATGTGCTAAGATTATTTATGTACTCCATATCCTAATACTGTTTAGAAATGTACTTGTGTAATCCACCTGCTAAAACTGTTTAGCAAATATAGTCATGTACTAGAACTGTTTAGAAATGTATTCATATACTCCATTTTCTAAGACAGTTTAGAAATGTGTTCTTGTACTTCATGTGCTATAACTGTTTATACATGTATCAATGTACTCCATGTGCTATAACTGTTTATACATGTATCCATGTGCTAAGAGAGTTTAGAAATGTGTTCTTGTATTCCATGTGCTATAACTGTTTATACATGGATCCATGTACTAGTTTAGAAATGTATTCATATACTCCATTTTCTAAGACAGTTTAGAAATGTGTTCTTGTACTCCATGTGCTATAATTGTTTATACATGTATCAATGTACTCCATGTGCTATAACTGTTTATACATGGATCCATGTACTACAACTGTTTATACATGTATCCATGTACTCCATGTGCTATAACTGTTTATACATGTATCCATGTGCTAAGAGAGTTTAGAAATGTGTTCTTGTATTCCATGTGCTATAACTGTTTATACATGTATCCATGTGCTATAACTGTTTATACATGTATCCATGTACTAAAAGAGTTTAGAAATGTGTTCTTGTACTCCATGTGCTATAATTGTTTATACATGTATCCAGGTACTCCATGTGCTATAACTGTTTATACATGTATCCATGTGCTAAGTGAGTTTAGAAATGTGTTCTTGTACTCCATGTGCTATAACTGTTTATAAATGTATCCATGTGCTATAACTGTTTATACATGTATCAATGTACTCCATGTGCTAAGACAGTTTAGAAATGTGTTCTTGTATTCCATGTGCTATAACTGTTTATACATGTATCCATGTACTCCACGTGCTAAAACTGTTTATAAATGTGTTCCTGTACTTCATCTCCTGACTGCTTTTGAAAATATTATTTATAAAACCACATAAACTTATTTATTTTTTTATATATATTTATTCGTTTTTAAGCGCAAAGTTACTTAAAGGGCTATCTGTTCTGTGCCAATCGTGAGTATCGAATCTATATTTTTAGTATTATAAGCAGTTAAACTTACTTCTGAGTCTTAATTGTTATTTATGTTTATTACACATATCAACTTAATAAAGAAAAGATCGTTTTCTCAATCACACAAAATAATTGACGTTATAATAGAAAATACTTGACCAGAGTTATCGTGAAGCAAACGCCATATTTAAAATTGTTTGTTTGATTTCACGAACAGTTACACAATTTTTAACTGAGTCACTAGTTGGAATGTTGGGCTTTAACAACGAATAGTGGGATTAACTGTGACATTATAACATTCCCACGACTAAACAAACAATCCAATAATAGCTTTGATTGTCATCCCTATAAAACAACGAAGGCCTCGAAATTCAAAGCGCGTTTTTACGGTAATGGGACGCAAACCTTGAATCCTCATTTTACAGTCTGGGCATGCTAACCGCAGGCCACGTTCTGCCCCCATATTTAACATGATTATATTTTAAAAGTTCCGACTAGCAATCTATGTATCAAATGTTTAGTTCCATCACCGAACGTGCTCCACATTTCATCCTAGGAGGCGTTATCATGTGACGGTGAATCCCACTTTCGTTGATAAAAAGTACCTCAACAGTTGGCGGTGGGAAATTTTGAATAGCTGCTCTACCTCTAGCTTATAACTTAATCCTCGAGAAATAACTTGAACATTAGGGTTAACGCAGAAAACCCTCGAGAAATTCAACAAATAAACAACCAAATAAAAATGTTCCCCGCACTTTAAGTTGTGGATGTATTATAAGAGTGACAATCAATACCTTAGCGTAGATGGTAGTTGGTAGGGTGCTGCAGACTTGCTACCTTCCCTCTGATCAGTAATTTAAATTTAGGGTCGGCGGCAGGTAGTTGAAGTAGCTTTGCCATAATTACAAAATACAAATAGATTGATAAGAATTTTGACGTTTATTCGGGAAACTCGGAAAGATACGGAGTACGTACATTTAAACATTTACAAATATTTGAATTACACAAAGGGAAAAGTTCCTTGATTGCGTAAAATTTAAATTTAACTCTATTTTCTGAATATAAACAACAAACCATCACATTATTAAAGTTCCTCGCGAACAGCAAAGCCAAAAGATTCAGTAAATATGTCGTTCTATTTACACAACAATAAATGTGCAATACTATAAAAACTAATAGAATAATAAACAACAAACCATACATACTTATTAAAGTTCCT